TGACCTGACAATATAATGATGTCTGTCTCTGTTTTACATTGCATTGACCGTGATAACATGCGTTACAGTAGAATCAGTATCACTTGAGAAATGCATCATTGACTTAGAATCTGTATTTTCGATGAACAAACTAGACAATATCTGTGTATATCGTTAAAGATGAAACTTTGTCTCTAAACTGAGCGAAAAGCGTAATACAGTGTAGAATATTTTGACTTTTCAAAAACCAATCTCCAATTATGTGGAAAACGTCCAATAGCGGTTTTTTTCCGGTTTGTTTTCTTTTCTTTTCTTTTTACTCAGACGTTTGTTTATCCACAAATTCAGCTGGACTCTAAGCTGCATGCTTCCAGTAAAACGTTACAGTCTTCTCAGGAGGGTGGGGTTCGTGTCTAAGTTCATGCGCACGTGCTTGGGAAGAAATGAACCGGTTTCAAAATAAGTATTTTAATGAAAAATTTGTTGACTTATTGATTCTTTCTGAAAAAAGAAAAAAACGTCATTTTTGTCGTATTCTTTAGTCTGAGCATATTGCGCGTATTTTCATTTTCTCTCTGAGTTCGAGCCAGGATTTATTTTATTTCATTTTATTTTATTTTTTGTTTGCGACAGGCTAGACTGCAATGCCTCTCGAACCGGCACGGGCATAGGTAGAGAGCAACAATTCTGTGGCCTAAGAGGTTTTGTTGGCTCAACCTGCAAAATAACGAGTGTTATAAATCATTTAGAGTGCGTTTCTTTAAGAAAATCCAAGATTGGATTCTTAAATCTGAAAGAATCCGAAAACAGATTTTGCGTTTCTTTACTAAACAGATCAATCCAAGATCTCTCGAATCATGGTGCGTCAAAGGAACCGAAGAATCCACACTGGGAGTTGTTTTCGGGCTGGTAACACGTGTCCCAAAAACTGGCAAGGATTTGAATCAAGACATAAGATTTCTTTGTGTGTATTTTTTCCTTGATGTGCACTCGCATAAAAATATGAAATAATGAAAATGCACTGAACTGAAGGAAATGAAAACGAGAACAATGACAAGAAAACTCATGCGATTGGCGCAAAACCATGTGATGGCAAAGCCGACATGCGCAAATGGATGGCAGCCCAGAATGCATTGCGTCGGCAGACAAAGACAAGCAGCGAGCAGGGAGCGGCACGTTTACCAAGATGGAGTCAGAGAGGGAACAAAGTAAGCGATTTGCTCGTGATAAATTCTTATTTTTGTGCTGTTGATCACGTTATTACATAAATGTTTTACTCTATCAAGTTTCTGTGTTGTTTAAGTCAAGTCTTAGCGGTGTAGAGGGAGTGTTAAGTCGCGTGGATCGAGCCTAATTTTGTCGTGGTTTTTTCATAGTCTTTCGTTTCTGGCCTTCGGTAGCCATCTTTTCCTTCCCCCACGATCCCGTTTTGAGGGCTGTTTTAAGGGAGAATTCGATTTTACGTTTGCTGATGTCGTTGTGTTGGTTTCATTGTTCCTAAATCACGCGGTATGCCCCAAGTAACATCTGTTCTCTTTTGTAGTTTTAGCCATCTTCCCGAAAGGTTTAATACAGTGAATTTTCGCTTCTTCGACAGTCCAGGCGTTGTAAGGGTATTCCCTGGTTCCTTTACCCCCCTTTTTGGGCAATGATGTCCTTCTCCAACCGTGGGCTCTTTGACATCAAAACACGTGTCCCTGAGATGAGCTCTTTGACCCATCTCTTAACAAATACAGCCTGGTTTCCATTTTGAACAATTTTCGAAGGCTCTCTCCTTCTTTTAGCTGTTTACTCTAAGCAATACCCCTTTTGAAACATGGGTACAGCCTCTCGATCCCAGCTCTGTGTTTGAAACCAGTTCACTGGAAAGGAGTGCTTCGAATTTTCCACAGCGAACTAAATGGCGGATAATGAGTCCGATAGCGACGAAGAAGTCGATATTCTTTCAAGTGTGGACGATCGAAGAAGGCCTGTGATGTTTGGAGAACATTTTACACACCATTTTCCTCAAGCTTCGTCCTTTTCGCTTGGACATATCGGAAGCCTTCGTGGAAGTACGGCAGTTTCGTTCCCTGATCAACAACACAACACGAGGTAAATTCCTCTTACAAATTAGATCCCATTTCAGCCGCCATATTTTCTTTGTCTTCCTGATCGAACTGTGCAACGTAGCATGTTTCTGTTCGAGCGAAGGTTCTGTAACTGAATTGTTGAATACTGGTGTGGCTCAAAGAAACAGCGGCATTTTGATGTCGAGGATTTCCGAGGGACGTGTGAAACTCAGTCCTGTTCAGGCTTGATCGGATTTTATATTTTTTTTTCACTTTCAATTCGTTGCGTGTCGCGAAGTGAAAAGCATTTGGCCAGGTTTTTAGGGCATTTTTCATTCGTGAAACATTTTCGCAATCTCTACACAATCCAGCCAACATTTTCCCTTCCTTTTGCCTTCTGTGTGTTCCCTCGCCAGTAGTTGAAATAAGTTTGTTTTCATGATTTTTTTCGCGTGAAATACATGTTCAAAACAACGCCCAGTTCGCTTCAGATTGTTTAATTTCAGGCTGTTGACTTTTTTTATTTCGTTGTATTGTGCCTTCGTCTCTTCGTCGTTCGAGTCAAGCTGAAGCGACCATGATTCATCAAAGGTAACCATAACTTGCTTTCACTGTTTCAGCTGAACCCATAGCTAGTACTTGCCATCATTTCGTTCTCAATCATTCGATATGTAGAAAGGATTTGTTGTCTTTCGATGTGGCAATTCTGAAGCCTTAGAAATCGACATGCTTGTTTCCTTGATCGTGTTGATTTCCTTATTTCGTTGATGTTTATTTCTCGTGGGCGATTCCCATTGTCTGAAGGGGGATGTCTTCTCAAATCAACATTTTCCTTGTATGAAAAAAAAATATATATTTTCAAAGCTTTATGTACTGTCTGGAAGTTGGATGAAATATATTTGCTTGGACCACTAAAGTGTATGGCGAAGACTATGAAAAATAGTACTCGTTGCATTTCTCATATTTTTAATTTAATTACAAACACTGGAATTTGGGAATCGAAGGACGATTTTCCATCTAGCTTCTTTGTTTTGGGGATGTTGGCATTTGTTAGAGATATACACATTGATCTGAGAGCTTTATGTTGTTCAGAGCAATTCTGTGTCTGCTTAACAAAGCCTGTGTGGTGGTCAAAAGCTATTGAATATTTTTGTCATATATTTGTTGACCCGTGGAAAGAACCTTAGGCATAACTTGAAATATTTATGTTGTACAAATGTTCCACTGTTCTATTGACCTCTTCAAAGTAAGTTGAATAGTACCAAAATATTATTCTAAAAAATTGTAGCCAAAATTACCAAATAACAATGAATAAAATTTACTAGCTAAGACATCTAAGGTGGTGTCAGGCATCCAGGCATTTTGTATTTCCTGTTAATAATGTAATATTTTATGCTGGAAAATATAGCTTTGTTTGAAAGGAGAAAATTCATTTAGAAATTATGATTAATGGTGTATACAGTACAGATGACTTTTTTTTTTCACACCCAATTAATCTAATTCAGTCTGGAAAACTTACAAAAATAATAATAAAGTCGTCATAGAGCTGCAGAAGTTTTGTTAAAGAGTTTTCAGCAGAGTAACAAGACATAAACAAATTTTGGTTCATTCCATATTTGACAATTTTGAGAATTTTTCAGTCACATCATATGTTCAGCTGTGTTTTTCTCTTTACAGACCATTTGATTTGCTTTGAGTTTATAGGCAGTGAAACTGTTTCGGTCAAATTGATGAGATTGAAATGTTACCAGCAATTGATATGTTGCCAGGAAATTAATTTTATTCTCTTAAGCAAAGTATCTAGTAAGTCTTTTTTAGTGGCAATATAAGGAATTTTTTCTTGTTTCTTTTTCAACAACAGAAGGATACTAATTCGAAGTCGAGATTGAATTAATTATAGAAGCTACCCAAAGGCATTTGGCAAACACTGTAACAATCAATGGAATACCATAACTTTTTACTATGTCTTTTACTAAGCTGACCAGAAGTATCTTGCCCTCTTAAGAACAGTGTTTTCCCTAGTGCCTCAAAAAAAAAAAAAAAAAAAAAAANTATGGTTTATTATTATCTCTTTGGTGTTTTTCCATTTTAGTAAACTTCTGTTTTCAGGTTTCCTTCAATTTAAAGGGAATTCAGTAGCGGCCAAACAAAAAAAAAAAAAGAAAAGAAAAATAAAACAGTGTGGTGTTCAGGTCAGGTCAATAAATACTTCTGTTAATCAGATTCCACCAAAATACCATGTAGACAGCCATATTTTTTCTTCATTTTAGCTTCAATCTTGTCTACATTAGACAACAGCAGACCTTGAGAAAACATCCACTAACAAATACCATTTACCAAAATACTTCAAACATGCTACATCTCCAAGGTTTGGAGACTACTGCCATTCCACAATGTGAGATTAAAAATACTGAGGTGCTCTCTGGATGATTGTACAAAACTGCAGTTAGACTGCAAAACCCAATTTTTTTTCTGTGCTTTAAAATGAGCTGATCGAGAAAGATCATTTAAAGTGAAAAGTGAGGGAAGACCCAGACCCCCCCCCCCTCCTCAAACCCCCTCAAACGCTAAGAAAGGGTCATGTTTGCAACAAATATTAGTGGTACAAGATAACCAGCTAGTTTAAGGTGTTCGCCCAATGATAAACCTCGCAATGGTCAAACCATTGTCGTCATCATCATTATCATCAACCACTCCTCTCTCTTAAGGGGCATAAGGTTATCATGCTCTCAAATCAACACTCTGATTCCCCCCGTCCACCCTTCTCCCATCCACCGAGTGGTGGCAACAGCAATTGCATCAAAAATTGCCAGTAAAAATGGGCCTTTACTTAAATCTATTTGAGAGAAAACTATGGTGTACCTTTTTTTTCTAGCATATACTGTATGTACAAAAACATTTGTACCCAGGTTTTTAACCAGAGTCCAAATACATTGGGAAGTTACATTTTATTAAGCGATGGTTGTGTTTTCACTAGGACAATTTTGGCTAGATAAAGTCAGAAAAGTCCGGAAATGCAGTGAAAACAGGTTGTCTTCAGTTTAGCGCATTAAAAATTCAAGCTGTTTTCACCAGAAAAAAGAAGCGATTATCTCACCGATATGACCGGAAATTCACGCCAAGTTATACTACCTTGAGAGATGGTATAACTTGTCCCGGTAAATGCCACAGCCAATCACATTGTGCATAGTGACGGACGCCTGCAAAGAATTTGGCAATAGTATTTACCAGACACTCGTATCGCGGTTCATTTTGCGAAACAGAACTTTAAGCGGCAGACGAGTTCAACACTCCTCAATTATTTTGGTTTACCATTCCTACGGTCCCGCTAGATTCTCCAGTTCCTTGGCAAGGACACAGCGTCGCTCGACGTGTAGAACAAGTTCCTGCATTACAACATTTCGTTGCATCCTCTTCATTTCTGGGGACATTAACCGCATCCTCTGGAAAAAAAATGCCTTCTCGATCTCCTGCGCATAAATATAGCTAGAGTCAATACAAGAGAAGTCATTAAAAGCGCTTCCTCTCTCAGCCATTTTTGAAAGTTACGCGGTTTTGTAATTTGAATCTTCTGAGTCAGCGGGTTAAATTCTTGGTTAAATTTCCAGTGAAAACAGATGTCATGTTTAACTAACAAATTTTTGTCTGTAAACAAACACCTAGAAAGAATGTTCAGCTAGTTAATCGGCCTAGTGAAAATACAGCCAATCACTCCACCCCTGGGCCAGTTATGTTTGGTAGACTTTGCCAGTGATAAACAGACCTGCCAACTCTCACGATTTTGCAATGAATGTCACAATTTTTTCATCTTTTCTTATGGCCTCACGACAAGACTACCAATCCTGCGGTTTCTTGTGAAAAACTCTCAAATGAAATATAACCTCGTCTAATAAAAATGGAAAATTAATGGGGAAAGCTAGAGCCATAAAGTGGTAAACTAATAAAGGGGCACCTTGGCCTTGCCCACCATTACTGGCATCTAATGATTTGTACCGTACTGTGTGATTTATGCTTGTGTTTACCGTTTTTTGATGACAGAAATTAAGACGGATTCTGCCCAAAATTTGAGCAATAAGTGCAAAAATTATGTACTAATCTACTCAAAGCATGGTAACTTTTTGAATACTATTTAAAACATCTCGCTGTAATTCATTTCTCTAGGTGACTCCGCAATTAAATCCCTAAGTATTCTCGAGAAATTTAATGTCAAACTTCGTAAGAATGCTTAATGCGTGTGCTATTGTGTTTTCAACTAATGCGAAACGTCTGTTTTTATTGAAATATGGATAACTTCAAGTTCAATTTTCTCTCATGGGGTCAGCTTGAGAGCCTAAGTCTCGATAAGATCTTCTTACCTTATTCAGAATATTACCATGCTGTGAGGGTTTTTTGGTAACTTTATTTTTGCCATTATTGCTTGAATATTCTTCGGAAATCATCTTAACTATTAACCAAATCTCTATTCCATGCTGAGTTTCCCAGTAGTCTTCACAAGTTCATTTGACATAAGCAATAGGCCATTTTACAGTTGCGTGCCTTGTTACCTGGCCTATGACTGGAAGCAAGGCTGGAGGTGACCTTGCTTTGATGCAGACCTCTCTGCTTTTCTGATGAAAATGCCAACTACAGTGGAACCCAGCCTTACGACCACCCCATTAATACGGCCACCTGGTTATTACGGCCACTTAATTCTGGCCTGAAAGAAAGCTCAGTCAGTCATTTTCTTATTTACAGACCCCCTTTAATATGACCATCCCGTTAATACGGCCAGATTTTTGTGGCCCGTTGGTGTCCGGATTAATGGGGTTCCACTGTAGTTAGCATAAGAACAACTTCTAATTAATTGCACATCAAAAACAGTGAGTTTTTTTTATTAAAACAAGGTCACCTGCAGCCTCGCTACCATTCAAAGGCCAGGACACTGAACAGACAACTGTAAAATGGTCTATAGCAATTGGATCAAACGGGTTGAACCTCCGGATCTTTTGTTCATGGGTCTCCCAATTTCCCTTTATCATGGGTTGGCAGGTCTGGATTTAAAGGTTAAGTCTAAAATGGGAGTGAAGGGTGAGAGCTAGGGGGTGAGCCTGAACACTACTGGTTAGCCTGAAGAGCACTCTGATTAGCCTGAATAATGCTCAGGTTAGTCTGTTTACAGTTAACTCTCAAATAATGGTAATGGTATCACCCCTCACCTGGCCTGGATTTTGGCCTGCTCATGATACGTGTAAATCCATTTCACCATAAATTAGTAATCAACTGAAAAACGAATGGCTGTTCACAATGTTTGGGAACAGTATCCTGTAGTATTCAAACATTGGGAAAAGAGAATGCACAAATGATTGTGTAGGGACACAGTCAGCTGGTGCACATACACATTAGATACCATTGTGCGGTTCCAGAAAATATCTATACTCCCCCCACAGAAGGGATTAGAATTTCCTGGGGGTGGGGAGTTCTGGAAGACCGAAAAATTTAAAGAAATGTATGAAACTTAACTGGAATTTCCAGAGGGCTGGGGAGGTGTTAGAAAAAATCCCTTCCGTAGGGGAGGTATAGATATTTTCTGGAACTACGTATTTCATAGCTAATTTGCATGTCACAGAGACACGACCCATACTGTTTTTAACCAAATCTGATAAAATAATATCACAAAATGAGCAAAAGCACACTCAAAAACAGGTTTTTCAGTAAACAATAGAAAATCAAGCAAAACACTGCAAAGATTGAAGCGGATTTCTAGATGTAGTTGACACGTATCTTTGATTTCAGGTTGAGGTGGACTTTTTCCAAAGTGAGAAAACCAGTGTCCAAAAAAGTGTCGCAAAGCTGACTGTGTCCCTTTAAGCCTGTACTTTCTTACAGGGTGTTGTCCATTTCCTAAAGTACACACCTCAGCGTTTTGCCTGGCACTCAACTTTTTTGCCTCTGTTATGGGAGTAGGAAAAATATAAGCGTTTTCAAGGTGCAAAGAAAACTAATTTTTGAGCTTAGCTTTCTGGCAAGGTGTAACATGATGCACTAGCCTGAAAGTTATTCTTACCAGCCCCCCCCCCATCCAAAAAAAATTCTCACGAGCTTATAAAAATAATAATCTCTTTCTGCAGTACTACTGTGATTTGAATTTCTTTAACAATATAACCCCCCCAAAAGCTTTTTAAGCCTGTCTAGCAAGTAAAGGACAGAATCTACTTGCCCAACTGTAAAATCCACCAGCCGTGGGCTATCAAACATTACTTTTCTACATAATGTCTAATATGTTGGTGAACTGTAAGCAGTGGGGAATACTCCTGGTTAGCTTGAATAATGACTCCAGTTAGCCTCAAGGCACTGATTGGACAGTAGTTAGCTCATAACACTGGGATTCAAGTGTTACTGTTAACTTATGTATCATCTAGTACTTAAATCAAGGCTAACCAGAATGTTATTAAGTTTAGGCTAACTTAGATGCCTTTCAGGGTAACTTTGACTATTCAGCACTCTTTGCTATAATTCTCACTTTTCTGGTTTTCCGCAAAATTAAGAATTTTGTTGTTGTTGTTGTTGATGATGATGATGATGATGATGATGACGACAATTGGGGTTTCGGGGTTTTTGAGGCACTTTTCACAATTCATATTAAAACATTGACTAAAGTACCTATATATTATTATGTTATTTGCTGGCTGGGAAGTCCGTATAGTGAAAAACTGACTGAGGTCTTGAAAATGCTGCCTGAGGCCACAGGCTAAGGGTAGCATTTTCAAGCCTGACGAGACAGTTTTTAACTATATTGACCGACCCTAAGCCGTTAAATAACTTGACATTTTTCCCTTTCTCCCAAATCACTTTTATAATTGTTGACCTTTTCAATGCACATATCGTGCATGTATTACTGTGAATGTGGTCAGAGATAGGAAAATCCGGACTGCACTGAGAACTAATCAGATTGCAAGACTTGTTACTGTGTCCTCTTACAAACAATAAATGTATATATTTTTTCGCAGTTTTCCAGCGTTTGCAAGGAAAATCCTGTATTAGTCATCACACTCAAAAGTCCAGCCGGTATTTTACGTCAGTTACAGAACCTTCTGAAGTTTTGGCTTAAATCATGACCAGCAAGCTGTTGTTAAGTTGTTAAGTTGTTAAGTGTTGCAAGCCAACATTTAAGATAGTGTGTGGCACTTTACATGTACACATGATACAATATAAACACAGGACACAGTGCAGCTGATAACGCAATGAGACACAAAGTTGATCCAGGGTGGGGAACTCCCATATGAAAAGGAAAGGGGTGCTTGTTGGATATTTTGAAAAGAACCCCTGGGAGGTAACAAAATCCTGTTCTGTGGGTGTGGATTGAAATTTTTTCATCCCTACAAGTCACCAATTCTAGAACAACGCACTAACTGACACTTCCGTAATTTTTACTGGTGACAAAGACGATTGCTTCAAATACCTTCTCGTTGATTTGCTTTATATATATATGGAAGTTCCCCCCCCCCTCCCCCGGAGTTGATCATGTACTCTGACGTGAAGAGGTTTTATGGCAAGGTTTTGAATTTGGGTCATTTTATTATTGTGTTAACTTTTTTGTAGGTCTTAAGCATGCCATTCGTTTGCAATTGCAAAAAGTTGTAATAAATTAACTAATTCCCATGAAAATAAGTAGCTATAATAACTACTAGTTAACTAGTTTTCTGAGCCAATCAAGGGACAAGTTGTTATGAGAATAGTGAGCATTTATTATAAGACAAATCTTGTTAACTAAATTCCAGCCATTTTAATCCAATGTGAAAAGGTCCTTTCCATTAGAAAATGTCTGTGGAAGGAAGGTGACTTTTTGGGGTAAACTAAATTATTTGACCAATTGGACCAAAGACTTAATTTCGGACTGAATTTCAGACTCAGAAGACTTAATTCCAGTTAGTATTTAAATTCTAACTTCGGTTGGCTTCAAGGTTTAAAGAAATAAATCTAGCTTAATTTGAATTATTTCTTTAAGTTTTGGAGCCAACTGAATGAAGTTGCAGGAAGATTTATTAAAAAGTAATGTTGTAATGCTTTATTTAGTCCTATAATGTTCCGCATATGTTAAGGTTTTTTTTTTTTTTGTTATACAAAATTGTGTCAGTGTTGGCAAATGAGCGACATCCCATGTATTCTAATAATATGCTTTGTACAGGTTGAAGTTTCTCATGTCTTAAAAGCTTGTAGCGTTAGAGAGTCAGAGTTTTGATCGTAAAATTTCATATTGATGGTATAGCACTGTAGATTTGGCTTAATGTGTTAAATAGGTTACTGCTAAAAATAGTGAGGATTTCAATGACCTCAGTGAATTCTCGGACATGTGATCTTTGACAGACAGGACAGTGACTCTGGTTCTGAAGGTTCAGACAGCAGTCAGTCGGAATCTGAGTCTGACGATGATGGAAATGAACAGCATGAGATGCAGCGCCATCAGCCACCTCCATTATCACACTACCATCCAGCAAGCCAGATGTTGTCACCTGGACAACTGCAGCACACCTTTAACAACAATCCAACCACCCCAACGCAAAAGAAGAAGTTTGAAGAAAGGGTATGTATAAGATTATAAACATATGCAATCCATTCCACAATTGGTGCATGACATTTAATTTACAGACTGCAGACTGTAGAGTACTTTTAAGGCCTGAATAACACTCCAGTTAGCCTGGATATCACTTAGGTGAGGAAGTTACTCTGTTTATGGTCAGCTCTTGGTTGTGGAAATGGGAAGAGGGTATTTGTTTACAGTTAGCTCTGATCTTGGTAATGGAAATGGGAATATGATATTTGTTTATGGTTGGCTCTAGATCTTGTTGATGGTAATGAGAATTCGATATTACAGTGTGTGTAGTTGATAACTAGGCTGCAGTTTGCAAATGTCATACACCACTCCACAGCGACACCATACTTTTAATTAAGTATTGGAGCCCTGAGGATATACTTGCAATTATAATAAAATATTTGGAAATATTTTTGCCTGCAGTTTTTTTTTTTTTTACACCCAATTTCTCTTTTGTTTGAAATAGTTTTGGGAAGAAGATCCAGAAACTTATGGAGTCAGAAGATCAGGAAGATCAAGAAAGGAACCAGAAAGATTTACTGTAATACAAGAGGTAGCAGTTTACCCTTGGTACAAGTTGGTATTTTCCTTTGTTCTCCTGTACATATAAGCAAAGGTTTTGTAATGCAGCACAAGCAAGTAAAAAATTAGTGATAAAACGTCTTTCGCTTTTATCGTTCTGCTGTATGTTTGGATGTGTTGTAATGTAATATATAAAATGAAGGAAAATACGAAATTGTTTCAAGGGTAATGTTGAATCACAACATACACATAACTAGACTGGGTTTTGGCTAGTTCTTAGCCCTCAATATTTTGTTAAGGTTAATCTGTTGTTTAGAGTCATGTGGTCTGAGCAAAGAAAGCAAGGCTTTCCCTGGTTGTTTGTGACAGCTATGTCATTGAGTTAAATAAATACTTTATTTAAATCAATTATTGAACATTATTAAGAGGACTGCGAGAAAGCCATCACAAAGTAACCAGGCAAGGCTGGGTTGACTACATCTGTATTTCATAGTAATAGATGAATTTTAGAACAAAGTAGGCTATTTCGTCATTACTAGTGCCTCAGCATTTAAGATTGGCATGACAATTTGCCTGTACCCATTTATAGAGTATTGCTACTTTGAGTGACAAGAAGCACTGTGAGAATAACAGGAAGAACACCACTCAATGTCCCCAGCTGTGGCTTGAATGTAGATGATTTGATCATTTGATATTATTGTAATTATTATCATGTTTGGTCTAAGTACAGTTAACTAAAGATGGATTAATGATAGATGGGGTGGATCTATACCAGTTTCTACCATTTTGTAGAAATCAGTCAGATTTTTCAGAATTACTCAGGACCCATGCTAGAAATTTTCTAAGGGAGCATGGTCCCAGACTCCTCTAGATGCTTCAGCCTTTGAGACTCATTGTTTTGGAAATCAATCACCATAGATCCATGCCTGGATAGAAATGTTTCATAACCTCTCTAGTATTGATGTGTACCTTGTTTTGTTTTGTAGGGATCAGGTAGTGAGGATGGAGAGAGGAGTGAAGGAATGCCTAGAAAGAGGAAAGTGAGGTCCTCAGGAAGACAGAACAGAAGGATTTCATCCACAAGGTTAGAGGTTTGACGCTATACATTTATGGTAACTTATATTAATTTAGTGTGATAGCATAAATGATTGTTTGCTTGATGTTTGATAGTGCGTGTCAATATTAATATGTATAGTCTTCACCAGTGGCCTCTAGCTTCAAGGGCCATTAAAGCATGCAAGCAACTAGTAAATTGAATACAATAATGGCTAGGAAAAATAACTATTTTGAGGTGACCGTGTTGTGTGGTATATGGATAACATCTGTGGGATGTACATGTATTGCCCTTTCAAAGGTCCATTAAGAACATAAGTTCTTACCTGAGGGAGATACCCTTACAATAATTAGACTTTCCTTGCTCTTTCTCTCTGTTCCTTCTTCCATTGCCCTCCACTCTTCCCATCTCTCCCTCTCTCTCCCACCTTGCCTCTCCCATGCTCCCTCTCTCCTCTCCTACCATCTTTTCTTCCTTTCCTTCCTTTTTCCTTCTTTCTCTCTCTTTCTCTCTCTCTCCCTTCCTTGCAACATTGCTTTCTTCCTTTCTCCTTCATTCCTTCTCTCCCTTACTCTTTCACTTCTTTCTTCCCCTTTCCTCCTTTGACCCTATCCCCTTCCACCCTCCTATAAGGTGCGAAAAAGGGAAACTTCTCCTGGTAGTTAAATTGAGCATTTACAGAAACCTTCATACTAACATTTAAGGTCAGGGCTAAAAGGGTAACTAAAGATATCTTAGTTTATGGTAAACTTTGGGCGTAAATGTTCTCTATTTGCCCTAGAAACATGCCATTGTAACAGGGATTGTATCTCACTTTTCTCTGCATCAAAATATCACATTTCAGTGAAGACTGGTCAGTGGCAGATGGCAATGGTAGTGAAAGTGAAAGTAGCGACAACTACACTCCTGAACAGGAGGTCAGGAACAGACCGAGACCTGTGCCACGCGCTAATGCAAGGGTGCCGCCAGTTGTACCCAAACCTAAGGATTTTGTTCCTCGCAAGAAAGCTCCTGCACCCTCGCCACAGAAAGTTCCCAGTAGGATAAAGAAGTTAGAGAGTGAGGAATCTGAAGAGGATGACGACAATGATTATGATGATGATGATGATGATGAAAACAGCAGGAACTCCGTCAGAAGAGCTGCAGTAACTATTTCAAGGTAGAAGAGCAATCTTGACTTTGCAATTGATAATGATAGCTAGCGGTGCAGAATCTGCATCACTAGTGTTCTTACTCAGAAACAATGTGAAAAATCATATTACTTCTTCAGCTATGCACAAGTTTTGTGACAACCACTACTTCTTGTGAATATCACACCTACCTGCCATTTCCTATACATTTTTCCTTGTTTCATTGTGTAGCCATGATAAATGAGGCAATCTTGTGTTGTTCATTCAAACATAGTTATAAAGAAGAGAGTGAAGATGGAACTGATTCTGATGACGTGATTGAACACGATTATGATGCCGCAGGAGAATATGTTGAAGATGACAGGGAGTGCATTGAGAAAGTACTGTACAGCCGTCTAGGCAGACTAGGAGAGATTGGAGCAATAACTACAGTCTACGCACCGGAGTACGAGGAAATGAAGAAACGAGGAGAGCCTGGGCCAGGTGAACCTAGTGAAGTACAGTTCTTGATTAAGTGGAAGGGCTGGTCACATTTACATAACACATGGGAAACAGAAAAAAGCCTTACAGATCAGAATGTGAAGGGAATGAAAAAACTGAGCAACTTAATCAAGAGGGAGCAGGATATTGCAGCCTGGTAAGAAATCTAGAAATTACAGATATGCAGGTGTTTCAACATCTAGTTTCTCCCTACAGCTTCAATACAATATCAAGCAGTCAGGTGGGGAGAGTTAAGAAACTCATCAACTAGAAGGCAGTCTTTTAGCTTGGTGATCTATTAAATTCTCAGAACTGTATACAGAAGAAAATTATGCCATTTAGTAAGGAGAAATAATATTTTTAGTTTTTGAGACTTAATTAAAAATTGAATCACACTTCAGATATTTTTTTTTTTTTTAGGAAAAAGTTTGCTCTTCCAGAAGACATTGAGTATTTCAACATTCAGTTACAAATGAACTATGATCTCTTTGATGAATACAGAGAAGTTGAGAGAATAACAGGTATGTATGAATGATTATTGTATGCACAGTAGTTGTTAGTCTGGAGCCATGCTAATGTAGAAAGTGAGGCTCTTACAGGCCACAACCCACAAATTATTTAGGAGGAGATTGAATCACACTTTACAAAGTACACTGATTTTGTGTCTCAACTGTAGTTTCTTTCTTGTATATAGCTGACTCCCATCACTGTAAATAAATGTATCTTCTCTCCACAAGTTTTGTGGTGTGATGATACGGGGAGCTTAAGTAATGACAACGATGATGCCAAGAGCAATGTCTAGTGGAAATAATTGAACTTTGCAATTCTCTACATCTGTCCAGTATGACTGGTGTTCTAAAAACCTGCTTAAACTAAACAAATTACATGAATGAATAGAAAGAAAAGCTGTTAGTTTCTCTCATTCTCCAGAGAAGACAGAACATTTAGTCATTTTGCATTGCTGTTTTTGCAAAGGATGAATAAAATAATAGTAATAATAATAATAATAATAATAATAATAATAATAATAATAATAAAAAACTGAAAGAAGAAGTTCTTAATCTCAGAATTAATTTGTTCGTTCATGTGTCTGTCTGTCTGTCTGTCTGTCCACCTATCTGTCTGTCTGTCTGTCCACTCTGTCCGCTCACTTGCTCGCTCTGGATCATGAGGTACATTAAGACTGCAACTCTCACTCTCCAACCAGCCCTGTCTTGTGCCACGCCCTGCTGGCCCACCCCTCCTAACCGCACTTCCTTCCCCGTTTGTAAAGTCTGAGTTTATTTCTCTTCTGTCATGCAATTGTACAGAATTTATTCTTCAGTAAAGTGCTAAGTATGTGTTACCTTGATGAGAACGACTGAGAAAACATACTGCCAATGCCGCATATTTTTGGGGAGATGTTTCCATCCTAGACTGTGCCAGAAGTGTAGGATGGTTATATATTTTTTTAATTACTGCAAAACTTATATCAAGTTGTTCTTTAGAGGCATGGAAAGGCAAGATATTGTCATCTTTACCAGTGTCCAATGTTTCCAAAGTCCAGAAACATTTTCAGTACATATTACCCTTTTTTGATCAACTAAAAATGTAATTTTCAGCATGTTTTTTTTATTATTTTGTTAAGTTTGATCATTATTTGATGGCATTCAGTTGATTTCAATGCAATTTTGCTCTTTCAGATCCGTGAATATGAATGGTACCGTGCTAACAGCAAGTCAATAAAATTCAATGCTCTTTTGACAACTTATGAAATCTTATTAAAAGACAAGGTATGAGTGAAGACTTACAGTGTAGCACAAGTTGATCATTACTACTTCCCTTACATGATTTAGGAATAATTTTGTGTTGATCTTTAAGAAAATAGCTCAAAGAAAATAATTTATTGACAGAACTAGGACATGCTGTTGACGTGATAATAGCGTGAGGAAAGGGAATTTACACTTTGATGATCAAAGCAAACAAGACTTTGTTTTTCTTTTTTTCTTTGCAGTGATTTCTAAAAGAAATAGAAAACATGTTCTATGTGTTTCTTTCAAGTTATACAAACACTCGTGACAGTTTAGGAAAACTCAAAAAACATTGAAACACTCACTTAATTAACACTTCTTTCCTCTTGAATTTCAAAAGCAAACCTTAGGAACTGTTAATTGGTGTTGTCTTGTTGTGGATGAAGCTCACAGACTGAAGAATGACGATTCCCTGTTGTACAAAGCTCTCATGGAATTCAATACCAATCACAGAGTGCTAATAACTGGCACTCCACTGCAGAACTCTCTTAAAGAACTCTGGGCATTACTACAGTTCATCATGCCCAACAGGTGAGCTGTAAAATCCAAGGGCAAATAAAGCTTTTTGTTGTAATTTATTTAGAAATATTTCATGTTTTTAAGCGTATTTTGAAAGCTGTTTGTTCATTTAGAAATTGGTAGAAATAAGCTTCAGTGTGTTTGGACGTTGAGGAAGAATTAAGAATTCAGAGTAATGCAACTTTGGAACAAGCTGTCAGACATCATTAAGTACTAGTGTATGTTGTGCACAGTTAGTTTTTTGTGTTAGTTAATTTTCAGTTGCAACTGTAGTTGAATCCTGAGTTTTTGAGCCTGTGAGGAACCAGAAGTTGGTTTGAAAACTAGGGTAGATCAAGAAATTGGGGGAGAGTGACAGTGTTCGACTGAGGGCTTTTGGTTTGAGTTATTGGGAGTTTTGAAAAGTTGAGGGTTTGAGAAATCGGAATTCCACTGTGTTTTTAATTTTCCCCAAATGTCTTTTTTGACTAGGTACTCAGTACATGTAATTTATTTTCAGTGCAACTATAGTTATGTTCCATTTTTTTTAACCTTGTCTAGTTTTTTTCTTCTTATTTTTTATTTTCAATTTTCAAAGTTGATTATTTCTTTCCAGTAAGTTATTTTTTTTCTTTATAATGAGCTCGTAATAATATTGTCTTTGAGGATAAATTATGTTTGTTTGACCAGGGGTAGGATCTAGTTGAAAATGTAAAAGTTGGCCAGGTTTGTCATCACTTTTTGTCATGTAGGTTTTATTCCTGGGATGAGTTTGAGAGGATGCATGCCACTCAAGAAGAAAAAGATAAAGGATTTTCAACTCTTCATAAAGAGCTGGAACCTTTCCTTTTAAGAAGAGTCAAGAAAGATGTGGAGAAGTCCTTGCCAGCCAAGGTACAGATTGTCGTTCATAAGATTATTGTCAGTTGGACAATACTTACAGTGTATAGATTGGCCTGTTTATATGCATGCACTGTACATCATTGTTAGTGGAGGTGCAGTGACCTCATGGTTAGTGCAAATGCCTTTGGATTTAGTGGTGTGGGTCCGAGCCCTGGGCGGGGTCATTGTGTTGTGTTCTTGGGCAAGACACTTTACTCTGACTCACAGTTCCTCCCTCCACCCAGGTGTGTAGATGGGTACCAGCAAACTTAATGCTAGAGGTAACCTTGCAGTGGACTAGCATCCCATCCAAGGGGGAGTAGAAATATTCCTAGTCACTACATGTTACTAAAACCAGGATAAGCACCAGCCTGAGGGGCCACTTGGCTCTCATGCAGACTTTACCTTACTGATGATGTTTTTATGGGAAATTAGAAAAGGTAAGGTGGCAATTGGTCTACTTTACTCAGCCCCATGTTTTCCTCTCTGCCGTTGATGATATTATGATAATTTATAATTATGAACAACGAAGGTATAATCTATATATCAGAACAAAATGCTGCTTATACCAGCCACAAAACATCATTAATTGCTCCCTTGGGAAATGTCTAAACTGCATAACTCAGTAGTTAATCAGAGCAACAGAACCTTTCAAGAACATCCATGCTTACTCAGAATACTTCCCTTTAGGAAAGCAGTGACTCCTGTTTAATTTGAGGAGGTTGAATTATCAATATTGAGTTTGTGATTTTTTTTTTATTACACACATAGGTGGAACAGATTTTGAGAGTGGAAATGTCATCAATTCAGAAACAGTATTATAGGTAAGTTATCTGTGATGTAGCTATTTTGTGAGGGATAAACACCAGAGGGGGGGGATACTCCTTAAAGTTTGGTGGGGGTGTGTGGCCCAGACCTTGAAAGTTGTACCCTATTTCAAGCCAAAATGTGTGATTTTCCAAGCCACTCTGCCCC